TCACTTTCCAGGGTCAATTTGGTGAGTTTTAGGACTACCATATTTGATTTTCATAGTTGTTTATGCCATGCTAAATGTCTACCTTGCATGTGCTTAATAACTCCTCGCATGGCCCTCTAAAGTAACTCATGCATGCTTGTATTTATTTTCGGACTTCATTTTCAGCATGCTTTGGCCATTGTCTTGGCATGCATGAAGCTTATTTGTGGTTGGTTTGGTCCTTTTAAGTGTTGCATTACATAGGCCTTGCCATCGCATGTTGTTGCATGCTCATGTTGCTTGCATATTGTTGTTGCAAATTCATGTTGTTTGCATGTTGCATTACCCTTGCATGTTTGTTGCATTCCATTGTGTTTGGATCGGATGTTGATCCAAACACGGGGAACGAGGGGCGTTTCATACTTGAAGTGATGAAACGCACCTCATTCCTTAGGTCACCGGCACCTTTGGTCATGCATGATAAGGTGGAGGTTCATGAAGTCCTATGTGGTATTTGTGTGCATTCATTGACATTGATTTGTGTAACTCGGCCCCTTTGGCCATCATGCATTGAGATGCATGATTGATGGCTCGAGAGTCGAGCACTACACTCCTTTAAGCTTTAGACATGATAAGGAGTGTGGTTGCACACACATTTTCTTGTAAATACACTGTCATGCCTCTGTTAGTGCTCTGTTGCAGCAAAATGAGGAAATTGCAGGAAGCAGTGGCCGATCGACCATCTAATATGCCGATCGGCAATCAAAATTGGCCGATGACCATTATCTTTGGCCGATGGCCTTTCCTCTTGGCCGGCCACCTCTCAGCATGGTCCTAAGGTGGATCAGAATCATCTTGGAAGTTGACACAATTTTCAGAAGTCCAAAACAGTGCAAACAGAGGCAACATGAGGCACGGTAGTGGATTTCCGAGCGAAGCCGACCAAGCATGCATACACCCCTCCTCGCGAGGCCATTTTTACTGCTTTACTAGCTAGTCGTAGTTAATTACTTGTTTTGTAATTAATTAGTTTAATTTGTGTTGTAATAACTAATTAGTTAACTTGTTAGTTAATTAGTTTCGTTTTGTAATAATTAGCTTAGATTAGCTAGTTAGGTTATTATTCGGACCCTCCGTCGAGAGGGCAAATTTTGTAATATGTGTGCGTGTGTGTGATGCATGTCTTCTAACCCCCACTTCTTTCTCCTTTTTTATTTACCCGCTTACGATGGTTAGTTTTAGGGCATGTTTCAATTAGCATCCTTATGCTCGCGTGTTTGCATCCATTCATCTGTCATGCATGCACCAAGCTCGGCGCATCAGACTAACTGCATCGTATTTCAATTCCAAGTTGAATGCGTGTAATCTGTAGCATCTCATCTGCCATCTTAGAATAGCCGTGCCTATCTTAGTTGCATTTTGCATGTGTTGCATTAGCCATCTTAAACCTGAACTAGGATCATGCATTGATTTCTAACATAGCTTTTGTTTTGGCTTGGAGTACTCGGTAAGTGTTTATGCTTTAGCATCTTTGCATGTGTGTGAGTGACTGCCATGATAGCATGCTTGCCATGAGGCTAACTGCTTATGTGATACAATTGCCTGAATGCCTGTCGGTGAATGTTGGATCACTTGAATTGGAACGATTCATTGATTGCGAGTTTTCAAGCCCACTTGAGAGTGGCAAGTCATCATATTTTCTAAGCCCACTTGAGGGTGGCAAAATCCGCATTTTAGCCTACTTGCGAGTAGCAAACCGCTTTCAAAAACAAACATGAAATGTTTTGTTCCAACTTAGGCGATCCAGTGTATACTTGTATGCTGTGCGCATCACATAGTAAATCTAGACTAATAACCAGAATAAGAACGCATAAAGTTTTCAAAACTAGATATCATGGTTAGTAGAGGCCGATCTTTGATCGGGCGAGCGGGGGTGACCTTCCCGAATTGTACCCAAGTTCCCGAGTCGAGGCAATTTTGGTGATGACGGACACGTGGCCTTAGGCAACGAGTCAGGATTTCCTAAATTTTCCAAAAATAAAATATTTAGGTGGCGACTCTGTATCTGGTAAAACAGTCCATGTTTGACACTTCTTTCAAAAAATCTGTTTTCTCAAAACGATTTGCCGGATTTGGACACTTTGGTTCAGATTAAGAACCGTGACAATTTGAGAGTCCGAACTTGTAGTGAGCCCAAACGAACAGAACGGGACTCATCCTCCCGGGACGTTCGGGGACGTCTACAAATAGTCAATTCCCAAATGAATCCTTATGAGAAAAAGTTAGGAACTCAAAATTTTTACCATAAAAAAATCAGTGTTGAAGCTGTAGTTATTGGGTTGTTTGACAACATGGTTTTTTGGTTGAAATTTTTTTAAAAACTAAAAAAATTTATAAAGTCACTACAACAAGTGAAAATATTACTAAAAACAAAAAATCAAACACATTATTCACTCACATGTTTTAATATAATTAAAAAAATATTATTCCTAAACACATTTTTTTCACTTCATAAAAAATATTTTAAAAATTCTCAAACGAAGCACTAAGTTGATGGGTTATGTTATGGGAATAAATCTAGTTTATACATTTTATATGTTAAATTATTAAAAAATGATATAGAAGCTCACTCTTTAGATCCACTTTCTAAACCCAATTATGTGTAAGTGAAATGTTTAATTAATGATTAGAGAAAATGTGAAGGAGTTACCTTAGATATTGATTGCCATATCATTGGGTACAGAAAGTGAGTTTAATTTTTGAATTAGAAAACCAATTCCCTACATAGTTTTCTGAGTATGTAATATTATTAACTAAGAGAGACCATCTGGGAAGTGATTTTTTTAGTAATATTTTGACTAAATTATGAAGTGAAAAAAATAATATCTGAGAAAATATTTTAACTTTTCACAAAAAAAAAAAAAAACGTATAATAGAATGAACGAGAATCTTTGACCTTTTTATTTAAATTAATTTTTTAAAATATTTTTAAATAACATTTTAAATTTTTCATTAAAAATTTTACATTCTAACAATTCCTAAATATTACATCCATAACAACACCACCACTGTTGTGGTCATAGTCGGGGGCAGAGTCACATGAGGCCTCTAACCAAAAAAAAAAAAAAAAATAAAAAAAAAAAAAAAAAAAATAATAATTTAATTGTCTTGAAGTTTTATATCACTATTTTTTCTTTTTTTTACCTTTTTTCTATAACAAAAATTTGTTTAATTTGTCACTTTAAATATTTAATCATGCTAAAATAATTTTTTATAAATTTTATATTAGTGAAATGTTATATTTCACTAATTTTTTATCACAGTTTTATATTACATCTTATGTGAATACTTATAATTGGTTCATTTATTTACAAATAATTATAACACAATTAATGACAATTAATAACATATTACCATTTATAATTAATATATAATAGTCCCCGTGCATTATTTATTCACATTTCATACATTTCTTTCTCTATTTCTCTCTATATTTTATATAATTTTGCTTTCATATTTTATGAATGACATATAATTGTTTTTTAAACCGTGATGAACGCCATATATAAAATTAAATTAATAATAATAAAGATAACAATTAATTAATTTGAGCTTATATTTAAATACAGATTTTGCAATCATACTAATTTTTAGTGTTGCTATCAAACAAAAATTCATTTAAATTTCAATTCAAAAATATCATTTTAGATCAAAATTTAAACTCTGATCATAGTGGGCAACAAATCCACCACCGCAGGATTTGACTTTGCCACCAGCTCACCGCGGCCTCCACATGCATTACCGATAAAAAAAATTAAAAAAAAAAAAAAATGCTATCACTCTAGCGAACCATTACATAAAACGATTCCAAAAAAATAAAATAAAAAAAGAACAAAAATGTGAGAAGGGTCCCACCTCATCCCAAGTGGGTAATGGAACCATGTGCGATCATATGGTGGTTGGCCATTTGCAGCCCCACAAAACTCTCTTTTCACCTTCAAACCCCCAAACTTGATAATGAAGTTCCCAACTTTTCATTCATTCATTTATTTAATTATGCAAATAATTCATTAAATAAAAAATTCATGTAATATTATCTATATAATATTACAAATCAATCACATATTAGTAATTTTTTAACTTTTTAATTAAAATATGATGTTAAAAAAATAATCAGTATATTTGATTTTAGTTTTTTAGATTAAGTTTTTTGAAAATTGAGTTTTTTAGTTTTCGGGGTTTTTTTTTTTTGTTTTTAGTGAATATTTTTAAAATTCTAAATATTTTTTTTTATTTTTTTAGATGCATCTTACTTAGATCTATCCAAAAGTAAAAAATTTGTTAAAAAATATTTTAAAAAATTAATAAATACAAAAAAATATTAAAAAAATGTATTGAATTCTCGCTTTTTTTTTTTAATATTTTTGGTATTTAGTGAATTTGTAAAAGATTTTTTTACAATTTTTTTACTTTTTAGGTATATTTATGTTAGGTTTGTCTAAAAATTAAAAAAAAAATACTTAAAATATTAAAAAAATTCAGTAAAAACAAAAAAAAACACGAAAAATAAAAAAGTAGAATTTTCTGAAAAGTATTTTTGGAAAACTCTAACCAAGCAAAGTGAATATATTTAGAATAATTTTTTAATTTTTTACAAAAAAAAAAAGTACAAAAAATTGACCAAAAAAGAATTTTTTGACTTTATTGATTTTTTTAAAATTCCTAAACTTTAAAGACAAAAAATAGATATTTATTTATTATAATTTTTTATTAATAAAAATTTATATATCCACAATATGACATAACAACAATGATAGAGACCACTAATTTTGAAGCTCTAAAAAGACCACTAATGATATGACACTCAATAAAAAAAAGAAAAAAATACAATACCAAGACCAAAACATCAAATCATTCCTGATGGAACCCACTGCCACATCATTAATGATAGCACTAATTAATACTACCACCCATTTTCATATGACATAATAGTATCTAATAATTTCCCCCCTGTCTCTCTCCTCACCTCCCATTTTCAATCTCTACTCTCACATTCTTCTTTTTATCATTCTCTTCACACGCTTTGTTCCTGACAATTCCCTGACACATTTCTCTCTCTCTCTCTCGCTGGCTCAAGTAGATTTTGTGTCAGAAGAATTCAAGTTTTCTTTTGTCCTTGTGAGCAAGGAGGCCCCTTTGTGTCAGAAGAAAATCTTGCTATTCCACAATTGTTTCTCTTTCATTCCTCTATCCCCAAAACACACACATATATATATACATGCCCAACTGTTCAAAACCCTAAATTTTGCTGCAAGTCTAGCACTTAATTTCTCCATATCCCTCTCTTTTTGGCCTCCATGACTCCTCATCACGTATCCATGAAACCTCATCAAATATCCATGAAACCTAGCTCTATTAAAACTAGGTTTGCTTATGGGTTTATGAGAACCCTAAAGAGACTCAGCAAGAGAAAGCCCACTTCATCATCGTCCCCAAGAGAGATTTTCCGATCATATCGTATGATAAAAATGGCTTCTGATGCATCCATGGCTTCTGCAGTGGGGTGTAGAAGAGCATGGAGCCATGCGATGCTTTGGAAAATTCGATGCCAATTGCCGCGTAGGTGCCATGCTTTGGGGAGAAGAAAAAGATCTAGAACAGATGGGTGCAGGAGAAGAGGTGTGGCAAACAAAGCTGAAAAAGAGCTTGGTTTAGGCCAAACTGATGAGCTTAGAGATCTTGTGCCGGGCGGTGAAACCATGGATTTAAATATCTTGTTGGGTGAAACTGCACACTACATAAAGTGCCTCACAACCCAGGTACAGGTTATGAGAAATATTGTTGATTTTTACTCTATTTGAGAAATTGAGAGTTGTGATTGTGATGTTAGTATACATAAATGCAATACAAATAAATCCAATCAAGAGAGAAAGAAAGTTATCATGGTGTGGAAGAAAGTAGGCTTTGGGCTGTGACTTCTGATGTACAAAAAAAAAAAAATAATAATAATAAATTAAAAAAAAAAAAAAAATTGGAGAAATAGAGAAGCAAAATAGGCTAATGTATACCAAGCCTTGAAAGATAGATATGTAAATTAGAGAGATATGAATATGATATGTCTTTATGTTTTGTGAGAAACTGATGGCTTTTTATTGCCTTTGTGTACAGCTTGCTTGTAATTCACTGATTTCATATGTCCTGCCTCCTCCTCACTTATTTGCTTTTTCCCCCTTTTTATATGTTTGATATGAACTAAACACTATGTGTTGACTTTTAGTCAGGTGTTCCAGGTGAAGATAGGAGGTGCTATGAAGGTGATGATACATATATCTATATCTATTTTATTATATAAAGTGTATATTTCAGTTAATATGAATGTTGTCACTTTTTTTTCTTTTTTTCAAAATATTTTTTTCAATCAGTAACTGTCAACTATTGAATGTTTTACTCACTATCAAACTTTTCAAAACAGTTAATCCGTTTTTCTCAATCATCAAACTATCTAAAAATTTAACTATAAAATTGCAAATGCATTGCGTTTGCACAAATCGCTAGTACATATTGCAAAATTTCAACGATTAAACCTCCTCCCAATTTATTTATTTATTATTATTGAAACAAGAGAGGAAGTGGAAGAAGTTCTTGTCATATTGACTGATACATTTTTTGATCAGCATAGTGACTGATACATAGTTTTTCATCTTTTGGGTTTCTCATCAAGGAGTCTGGAGTCACTAACCAAATGACTCCAATCAATATCACTCTTTTGTGGTACATTTCCATTTAGTTTTAAAAGAGCTAACTGACCTAATTTGTAGTATTTGTTTTGTTTTGTTTTTTTGATTTTTTTTAAATTTTTTTATTTTTTTTAAATAAAAATAAAATAAAATAAAATAAAAGTTGAAGTCTTGTGCATTACCATATTTTTGGTCAAAATCTCAATTGAAAGGAATTTTTTCACCTTCTTCAAGCCAACTTTCGAAATTTATGCAAAGAATCTCAAGTTAGTACATTATTTTTACATATATGTAATATATATTTTAAATTTTTTATCCTTTTTGTATGCACAGATTTTCTTGATAAAATTGTGAAAAAACTAGAATTGTTAAAATCTATTTTATGCATGTAAATTCAACATGTAGAGATATAAAAGTTGTTATTATATTTGGAACATTCTAAATATTAGTTATGCTTTTTTCCATGTCAAAAGGAACAAACTATTCTATGATTTACACAAATTAGCCACTTGGAATTTCAAAGAGGTACTCTTAGGATAAGCAGAGAACATTGATCTAGTTGATGCTTTCTTTTTTCTTTTTTTAAGTTTTTTTTATTTAATAAATGATCCTAACTGAATCATTAAAAATCTTCAGTTTTCACCATTGTTATATTTATTACAAAATCATTAAAAATCTTTAAACTAGACACTCGAAACTAGGGCTATAAACAAAACGTAATCTTCATGAATAGTTTCTTGCACAAGTTCATTCAATTCTGTATTCGATTTGAGCTTGAACCTAAATTTGAGCACGATTAATAAATGAGTTGACCTTGAAAAACAAGCTCGTATTGTTTTGGCTCAATTTATTGTTTACTAGTTATGGATGCAAAAGCGATGCATTGGCAATTTTACATTTAAATTTTTGGATAGTTTGATTATTGAGAAAAATTGAATAGAATTTTTTTTTTAGCGGTTTTATGAATAAGAAAAATCATTCATACTTATTGGATGGAAAGGAAATTTTTAGAAAATGAAAAAAACATGACAGCATTCATACCAACTCAGGTGTATGTAGTAGAATAGATGTAAAAAAGTTGACCTTGAAAAACAAGCTCGTATTGTTTTGGCTCAATTTATTGTTTACTAGTTATGGATGCAAAAGCGATGCATTGGCAATTTTACATTTAAATTTTTGGATAGTTTGATTATTGAGAAAAATTGAATAGAATTTTTTTTTTTAGCGGTTTTATGAATAAGAAAAATCATTCATACTTATTGGATGGAAAGGAAATTTTTAGAAAATGAAAAAAACATGACAACATTCATACCAACTCAGGTGTATGTAGTAGAATAGATGTAAAAATAATAATATAAAATGAATTTATATATATGTATGTAATAATATTTTTGATGTATATAGCAATGTGATTTCAATTCAAGTTCTGAGATGAGATTGTTGTGTATATTTGATCTAAGCTTGGGCTTAAATTTTTTTTGATCAACTATAAAAAACTTTATGGATGACAAAAGTATATAATTACATATGAGATGTACATCAATAAAGGAGTGGAAGAGCAGAAACGCATCAAAGCTAACTAACCCAATCCCAGCTAGGTTGGCACCGAATAGAGAGCTCAATCATCTGCAAGCTCAACCACAAAGGGATGGTGAGAAACCATGCCCAGCAAAAAATAAAAAAGAAACCCCCCAGAAACTCAACACCCAACTGCCAAGAAAATCAACCCTAGTAGCAGCCTTACGCCACACAATTCAATTTTTTATGCAAAATCTAACCTGCTACAAGTGATACACAATATCATTTACTGAGTAATGAAAAGAGGGGTTAGAGTTTGTGACCCAAAAAGCAACCTTGAGTTTAATAAAATCACACAATCCATCAAAGTCCATCAGGGAGCTCTTAAAATTGCTTTCATTTCTCTACTTCCAAATAGACCAGAGCACCACCAATGGTATGACTTTCCAGATGGCCAAATCCTTTTTTTTTTAGATTAAACCCAGCCCATCACTGTAATAGACCAGACACTGATCCAGGCATTGCCCAAGAAACACCCCACCACTTAATAATATTGGACCAAATCGTCCAAATAAAAAGACAAAACAGCAACACATGATTTACATCTTCCACTGTAGTCCTGTAAAAAATACAATTTAAATCTGAAGCATCAATAAGGATGCCAATTCTTTGAAGATAACTGGATGTCTTAATCCTCTCCTTCCATGCTAACCATCCAAAAAACTGCACCTTAGGTGGAGCCACATTCTTCCAAATGAACCCGGCTAATTTGCTAACACATATTCAGAAGATGATTCACTCCGTTTATAGGCTGAAGCCACATTAAACACACTAGAATTATCTGCGTTCCATTTTAAACTGTCCACCACTCCTTCCCTAAGAACAAGTGCATTAATTAACAACACTCTCAATCTCCTCAATTCTTCTAATTCCCACTAAAACAAGGCTCGCCTGAAAACCAGATCCCGCTCTTCATTCCCATTTCTCCTACTGCTGACCATGTGCACTGATTCAGCTTTGTCAAGGAACACAGAATAAAGTCTTGGAAATTCATCTTTTAGACGAACATTGCCAACCCAATGATGAAGCCAAAATTTTGTTTTCCTCCCATCACCAACCGCAAGGGTTATTTTTGAAAAATTCCACTAACTAAGGGCAAGATCTAGCCATCCCTAAGATATCTCTCCAGACAAGTCAAAGTCAAACACTACATTAGTCATCTAAGGTTAGTTCGTTTGTAACCCTACTCCTAACCATAACCATAACGTAATTGGTTCTAAATACACCAAGGGACATTCAAAACTAATTGTTCAATTAAGACAACCTTAATACGGAACAGGATGAATGGGCTGCCCATATTGATGTTTTCCTGTGCGACTAGATTGAATAAACTTTGGTCATGTGAAACTTAGTTACACAGCCAACTTTCTCAATGAAATTCTTGAATGAAAAAACAACACGAATCAACTTCAAGATTCATAGTGCCAAAGGAAGAAAAATGATTTTGCAAAAGGATTGAATTATTCAGTAAATGGATTGAACATAGTCAATGAAACAATATTATCACAGGTTTTATTTCAATGTCAAGTATATATATATATATATATATTGATCGGCAAAGAAAAAATTTCATTAAAAATATAAAATTAAAGATACAAGAAAAAAAATGCATTGAGAGAGATTCAGAGAGTGAAAACTTCTTTACTACTACTAATAGCATCATTACAATCAGTCCCTCGGCCTCACGATTTTTTTTTTTTAAAGAAACAAATAAAAGAAAAAAAGTTAAGTAGATCTTAACTAAAATTCAAAATACATTGAGTCCAAAATAGTCTGCTACCACAGCCCAAAGTTGCCTCCCATGCCAATTGAAAAATTATTTCTAAGTTGTCTCTAACAAGCAATCTCCCACAACTGCTGAATAATACAGATCTCCCCATCTCCATTTGTTGTTAAGCAGAGCTTGTGAGCTAAAACTTATTAAAGGGGTGAAGGTAGGATCTCAGGGAGTCTTGCTATCACATCTACAGTTCGCAGATGATTCACTCCTATTTTGTGAAGCTGAGGTGGAATAGGTGAGGAAGTTGAAAAGGGTGTTAAGATGTTTCGAAATTTTGTCTGGTCTTAAAATAAATTTTCATAAGAGTGTTGTATGTGGTGTGGGTGTCTCTATGGCTATGATGAATGAAATGGCTGCAGTGTTGAATTGCAAAGTTAAAACATTACCACTCAGTTATTTAGGGCTGCCTCTAGGAGCTAATCCAAGAAAGAAGGCCACTTGGAAACCAGTTGTGGACAAAGTTAAAAGTAAGCTGGCTGGTTGGAAGAGGAAGATGTTGTCTTTTGCGGGGAGGCTCATACTTGTTAAAACAGTAACCTCAGCCTTGCCAGTGTTTTATTTATCTTTGTTTAAGTTACCTGAAGGAGTTGCTTCAGAGTTGGACAGGCTTCAAGCTAACTTCTTATGGGGTGGTTCTGGACAAGTTAGGAAAATCCACATGATCAAATGGGAGGATTTGTCTAAAAGTATGGACCAAGGTGGTTTGGGTATCAGGAATTTGAGAAATGTGAATAAGTGTCTGTTAATCAAATGGTGGTGGAGGTTTGGTTGTGAGAAGGATGCGTTGTGGAAACGAGTTATATGCAGTAAATATAAGATGGGGGTGGGTGGTTGGATTCCATCACTCATTCCATCAAATACATACTCACCAATTTGGAGGGGGATCATCTCTGCTGCTGATCAGTGCACTAGCCTTAAGGAGCATTATTTGAATAATTTCCAGTTGAAGGTAGGGGATGGGATGAGAATCAGCTTTTGGGCAGATAATTGGTGTCGATCTGTTTGTTTAAAGGATGAATTCCCTACTCTATTTAGGCTGTCTTTGGAAAAGAAGGAGACCTTGAGCATTTTGGTTGATAAGAAAATCAGAGCAGGGGGTTGGGCTCTGGCTTTTAGGAGGGAGTTGTATGATTGGGAGAAGCTGGATCTGGCTAGGCTCCTAAATATACTGCTGGAAGCTCCTGACCTGTGTCCTGATTGTCCTGACCAGTCGGTCTGGTTAGCTTCTTCTTCTGGAGTCCTAACTGTAGCAGATCTGTATAAGTCTTCTCTGGCTTCTGCAGGTGATGCCTTGAGCATAACAAAACTGATATGGCTAAAGGTCATCCCTCCCAAGGTGCAGGTTTTTTGTTGGTTTGCATGGAAGAGGAGAGTGAAGACCAAGGAGTTTTTACAGCGGCTGGGTGTGCTTGATCAGGGTGCCTCTACAACGTGTGTGTTCTGTGGCAGTGGAAGTGAATCAGTGAACCATGTACTAATTTGGTGCCCTTTTGTGTGGAAGATCTGGGCAGAAATGCTGAGATGGTGGTCTGAGGACATAGCTTGGGAGGCTCGAGGCGGACATAGTGTAGTTGTTTTACTTTTGATGTATTACATGTAACTTCAAGCCAAGGGCTTAATGTGTAAACGAGTTAGTACTCTTTTGTTGAAACCAAGTGTTAGCTTGGAAAGCTGTAAGCCCGTAGGGCATTTTGTTTTGATGTTAACATGTAATACTTATGTAATGAAACTCAATGAAATAAAGGAATGTGGTTAGTTTATATGTAAATGCATGTCTTATCTGATGGGTTTAATGTTATTATTTTGAGGGCGTTACAACTTGGTATCAGAGCGTACCGGGTTCGAATACTTTGGGTACGTGGGAAGTGATTAGGATCACAATGGGTTTGTCTCGCTTGATAGGGACGTAGATGTAGTACCATATGCTTATGTGTTTATTTGAAGTTTATATGCCGTGCACTCTGCTTGGTCTAAAGACTGATCTACAATCTGAAGTATATCTGATTCTCTGCAGATTGGAAAGTTACTTGGCTGTGTTGTAGTCAGTTGGTTGTAAGGGAGGTTGTTGTGCCGCTTCATTACTCTATCTGTTGGCATAGAATCAACAGTGGTTCAATATTGGGGGTCCAGATCTTATCTCCTTGCTGTCCAGATTTATCAGCAGTGGTCCAATCTGTGTGCTCTAGCTCATATCAGCAAATTGTTGGAGGTTCTATTTTTGCACAGGATAACTTCCCCTCTTCTGAAGTTGTTGTAGGAGTTTTGCTCAGTTTTGGTGTTTATGTTCACTGCAATTTTGTTGTTTCGTAGTCTGCTTGAGTCTTTTCTGTTCCTTTTTGTGTGTTGCTGATTTTGGAGCTTGGAGCTTCAGCCAGCTCCAAGTTCCTCTTTATTGATGTCCTGTATCCTTCTTGTATACTTTCATCAATAAAGATTTTCTTTGCCGATCAAAAAAAAAAAAAAAAAACAAAGCAAAAAAATAATAAAGAAAGGCAAGTGCAAGTGCAAAAACATCACAATAAACTAAATCATCCTAACTATATTGGCACCAAAAAACATATCCTATCATTTGCTAGCATCCCTAGAATTGGTAAACAACCAACCAAGGAAACAAAAAAAAACAGAACAACCACCTACAAATCAACGCCAAACCAGAGCACCAGACAAACTCATCAGTGCAGCAATACAGACACAACCACCAACACAGGGCTGACTATAATGTTAGGTTGATATCACATGCAGGATTGACTCTAGATAATTTGTGGCCTAAAATAATAATTGAAAATGAGACCTTTTATATAATAATTTATTTTAATAAAACTTTTATTTAAAATTTATTTTTCTAACTGTTTGAGATGCAAAAATATTAATTAAGTTTTTATATTCAAGTTTTGCTAACAAATTTGTTTCAATTTTTAATATAGCTAATCCACTTAATTTTTCTTGTGACATATTTAGTTTCCCTAAAAATATGTTTTTTAAAAAAGAGCACAAATAATAAAAACACAAAAAAAAATTTATTGAAAGGGTAGGACACTAAAACCAGATTTTCCATCTTTAGTGATAAATAATAGGTATTGATGTGTAATTAAATTTCCTACAATTTTTTCAACATGAGAAAAATTTATATAAATTAGAAATATAATTAAAAGAAAATATAAACAAAAAAACAATTTTAATAAAAATTTTTTTTTTGATCGGCAAAACGAAACTTTATTGATGTAAGAATCAAATACAAGGTACGAAACAAAATACACCAATAAAGAAAAGGGAAGTGCAAGAGTATCACAATGAACTAAATCACCCCAACTAGGTTGGCACGAAAGAGCCCATCCTATCATTTGCTAGCACCCCCAAGTTGGTGAGAAACCAACAAAAGAAACAAACCAAAATTGCTAGCACCCCCACTGAGCCACTGTTGCTGATACTCCAATATTGCTGCTAGACACCATACCAACCCTAGCACACACCACTGAACCACAGCACAGCCACTAATAGATCAGACCAGACATACTTCGCAGCAAACAACCATTAGGAAGCAGCTATGCTTAGCAGACCAACATCCAACAAGCAAACAGCATCAACTAGAGACAGAGCATACAGACTAAATTAAGCAACTGTAAGAGTTGAGACTAAACAAGTAAAACTGATCACCTATTACAAGATAACAGACCAACAAAATATGACTGATCAGCCACAGAATAGATCAACCCAGAAAACAGATCAACAAACTAGAGACTGAACATATATACTCAATTGAAGCTCCTAATATTCCTCAAATTGCAAACTACATCAGTGACTGAAAAGGGAAAGTCCTTGATAGAGGCCTTGAGCCAATAAGTTAATCTGGCCTTGATTAATTCCCACAGATCCATCGAATTAGGATGGGCATTAGAGAATACACACTTATTCCTATGCTTCCAAAGAGACCAAAGAACAACAAATGGAATGGCTCTCTAAACTTTGGTGATTAAGCACTTGTATTTTCTACCCATTCACCAGTTAAGTAAGTCTGCCACAGAGTATGTGATGCACCATTGAAGCCCCCAGTCAAATAGCACAGCAGACCAAATGGACTAAGAGAAAAGGCAATGAAGCAAAGCATGATTGGCAGTTTCAGGAACAAAGTTGCAAAAGATGCAAGTGGTGGAGGAATTGGAACCAAGAATGCCAAGATTGTGTAAGAAATCTGCAGTTTTAACTCTATTTTTCCAGGCTAGCCATCCAAAGAAATGGACTTTTGGAGGTAAGGAGTTGCTCCAAATAAATTTGGTTATGTTAAGATGAGGCCCCAGAAGAGAAATACTAAAGGAATAAAAGGAAGAGGCAAAGAAGGAACATGAACCAGCAGTAGTAGAGTTCCAGACCAAACTATCAATACACCCTGGGCTTAAAGTAGGAGCAAAGGCCAATAAGCTAAGCAGTCTAGATTCATCAGATAGTTCCCAAGCGTACAAGGTTCTTTTGTAGTTGAAGTTTCAATCACTATAGCTGGTTTTCCTTGCAAAATATTGTTGAAGAGAGCCCTTCTTATCAGTAGAAAGGTTGAAAAGGGAAGGAAACTCATCCTTGAGGCAGGTGACTCCACACCACTTATCATACCAAAATCTAATTCTACTGTCATCTCCCACCTTGATTTGGCAGTTAACCAAGAAGAAGTTAAAGATATTACTACTATGAACCCCAATAAAGAGAATGTCCTTCCACACCCTGGAGTGTTTGTAAAAAAATTTCACAGGAGGATGCCAACAATGTACCTCGACCTTGTATTTACTACAGATGATTCTCCTCCAAAGTGCATTAGTTTGATTGCCAAATTTCCACCACCATTTTAGAAGCAAACAAGCATTAACATCCCTAATTCTCCTAATGCCCATACCCCCTTAGGCAACACTCTTTGTTACATCTAACCATTTCACCAAATGAAAATTTCATTTTAGGCCATTTCCACCCAATAGGAAGGCAGCTTCAATCTTCTCCACTTCACGGGCCACACCATCAGGCATCTTAAAGAGAGAGAGATAGTATACAGGTAGACTTGATAGGACAGATTTGATCAGAGTTAGTCTTCCAGCAAAGGACATCATTTACCTTATCCAACCTGATAGTCTTGCTCTAATAGTGTCAAGCACAGGTTTCCAAGTAGTTTTGTTACCTAGGTTGGCACCTAATGGAAACCCAAGAAATTTCAATAGCAATCTAAGCACCTTGCAATTCAAGAGTCTTGCAAAATTCTGCAGTGACTCATTAACCACACCCACTCCACATATCATACTTTTCAGGTAATTAATTTTGAGTTCAGAGAGAACTTCAAAGCATCAAAGCACTCTTTTGATAATAACCACTTGATCCATATCTGCTTCACAAAAGAGAATAGAGTCATCCGCAAATTGAAGATGTGATACAAAGACCTCATCAGCCCTAACCAAGACACCTTTAAGAAGACCAAGATTAATAGCTCTAGCAAGGAGGATATTGAGCCCTTCGGCCACTATGTTGAATAGGAATGGTGATAATGGATTGCCTTGCCTAAGGCCTTTGTGCGAAAAGAACTCATTAGTTGGTGATCCATTCACGAGGACAGAGATACGGGCTGAAGGCACACAAGTTTTTATCCAATAGATCCACTTAGAACCAAAGCCAAAGCTTGACATCATAGAGAACAAGAATTCCCAGTTGACTGAATCAAAGGCTTTCTAGAAGTCTAGCTTGATAATCAACCCTTGCCTCTTGGCCTTCTTCCATCCATCAATAACTTCATTAGCAATAAACACCATCTAAGATATTCCTGCGTCCTATGAAAGTTGTCTGAGTCTCACCAATTATTGAAGGCATCATAGGCTTTAGCCTACGCACTAAAACTTTTGCCAAAATTTTGTATAGAGAGCCCACCAAGCTAATGGGTCTATAGTCAGTCAGATTTATGGGACTATCTAGCTTGGGAATGAGGGTAATGAAAGAGTTGTTGATACCATAGGTAAGCCTGCTATGTTTGTGAAAATCACTAAAGAATTACATGATCTTATGTTTCATGACTTTCCAGAATTTCTGATAGCACAACAGATTAAACCCATCTGGGCTTGGAGCTTTGTTACTATTGCTCTCTTTAATGGCTGCCAGAACCTCTGCTTCAATGAAATTTGATATCAAACAGTGAGAGACAAGACTACCCTCAATTACTTTGAAATCCCCACCCAAAGCAGGCCTATTAACCCAATTTTCCTGGAAATGGTTCATGAAATGAAGGAAAACCTCTTGCTTGACCCTACTAGGTTCCTCATAAGATACACCATTGACTGAGATAGAATTGATCATGTTTCTACTTTGACGAGAACTTGCAATAACTTGAAAAAACCTAGTATCTTTGTCCCCCTTTAGAGACCAATTCAATCTGGACTGTTGATGCCATAACCACTCCACCCTTCTATAGAGCCTCCACACTTCACCTCTGACTTCTCTTCTTCTAGCCTTTTCTGAGCATAACAATTCTCTTTCCCCTGCAATGATGTCAAGGTCATGCAATTCATCCTCTGAAGCCTTAAGTTTGGTTGAAACATTTCCGAACACTTCAGTATTCCATTTCTTTAATTCCAACTTTAAGTGTTTTAGTTTTTGTTGGAGAATAAACCCAGCCCAACCCACAAAACTAGCATTCAACCAGCAGGTAGTAAAGAGTTGAGCAAAGTTGGGATGCAAAGTCCACGCATTGATAAACCTGAAGGGTTTGGGGCCCCAATCTCTTTCATCTTCCATCATTAATAGAGGGCAATGGTCTGATATTAGTCGAGGCAGCCCGCAGAGTTTCAGTTTAAAATGAATTAACCATTCAGGGCTTAGCAACAACCTATCAATTTTGCTTCATTTCTGTGATTCTTGAGCATTACACCAAGTATATTTCCTACCAAGAAGAGGTAGGTCATTCAATTCAGAGGTATCTATGAACTCATTGTGCTGATGCATGCCTTTGTCTCGCCTGGAGCAGCCTACTCTCTCATCCATATGAAGTTGATGATGAATCAAATATCTTTGACAAAATTGTATAAGAATAAGTAAACAAAACTTGGAAATATAGTGTAGAGAAAGAGATGAAGAGTATTTTTTTTTATCTTTTTTTCTTTTGCTAGATAGAGAATGATGTTCAAAACAAAAAATATAAGGTCTGAGAGAGACAAATGGAGAAAGAGAGAGAGAGAGAGAGAGAGAGAGAGATTTGAAATCAAGGAATATCTCTACAATAAAAGAAGTAATTATTTCATTTTGATTATAACTCAACTATTCCCATCTTAAAAAAAATTAAAATTTAAAAAAACCGTAATGTTATATATATATATATATATATATTGGATAAGAGAGAGTTTGGGCCCTTTTGTTTTATTTTGTTTTGGGCCTTTTCATTCAAAAAATAAATAATGAATCATATGGACATTATATCAAAAAATGAAGCCTTCCAAAATTTGAGGGCCTAAAGTCTGGACATGACTGGCCTTATGGTCCAGCCGGCCTTGATCACTTTAATCTCTCTAAAAATGTGCACAAAGCAACTTTTAATTGACTGAGACAGTGCCATTGTTATATATTTTTACTAACAATAACACGTTCTATGCACGAGACTTTATAAATAAAGTAAATCATTATAATTATCTTACAGTAATTTAATATTTTGTTATGTGCTATGTATGAAATTTATAGATTAACTATTATGTTTATAACTTTTTTAATTATTAATTTAAAAAAAATTTAAAAAAATTATAAATCAATTTAGTGCAATTTTGATAAAATAAATAAATAAATTAAACTTGTTTAAATGAGATTAAATGTGCTATGACATACCTCGTTTTGTTAAGAAAATATACAAATTTAAAAGTTATAATTAAGAAAAATATGCAATTTTATTAGTAAATGTGAGGTGAAGCGAAGTGATATTTAATAATAATTGATACGGTGTTTATATTATTAATCTAATAATTTAAGTTACATTTCTTTTTATTTCAATTTCATAACTAAAAACTCAATATGTAACGCCCTGAAAATTTGGGCAGGATATATCTATTTATGCTACAAAACCCACCTAATAGACAAACATATATATATATATATATATATTGCTAAGTAATCCATACACCCATTTCCATTAAATCCCAAATGTCAAGTACATGTTGTTCACATCTCAATGCCCTAGTTTCAATCCCAAACATGCATTTTACAACAAGTATGCATTTAAGAAGCTGTTGTTTCCAAAAACTCCATCCACGCTATTACCTTGGAGGAAGCATCTCACATGTACCTGAAAATGATATTCTCATGCAAGGTGAGCCAACAGCCCAGTGGAATAATCTAACACAATTTATGAGGTTTAGTAAAGGTATAAATACCACGTACATAAACGATACCGATCCTGAAACAACCACAAGACCTGCATATCCATATGCCACTAAGACCAACCTTATTCCATTTTCCTTTAATTTCATTTTCAGTTCATATAAGCTACTCAATTCATGAGTTAAATTCATTATCTTTCAACAATTAAAATGAGACTACAACTCAATGATTTTCCAATTATGCAAATCTCACATAAGCACTTCAAACCTGTCATTTTACGGATATTTCGTCCGAAGGAATTGACACTCATTTATATATAAAATTTCGGGTCTTTCACCCAAGACACTCCGGCCAACTTGCTTTAAATAAAATCCATCCCCTTTCTCCTCTCAAACAAATATACATATGCAATGTATTTATAAACATAATCACATATGGAGTACATCACCTTTCTCATCCCAATAAACATAGATATACAATGTATCTATAAGATGGTCATATTCAATGACACCAACAATGGATTAGCATTAAATCGCCTAATCTTCATGTAATTTTTACAACAATCATAGCTATCCTCCACTGATAGCCCAATGCAATTATTTCTAAAGAGATGTTCATTATCAAAATAAATAATTTATTCAAAACTTACATAGGTGAGATAATACATATCCAACATCACCATTTAGAATCACAACCTTCCAATTTCACGTTTTCAATGTTAATTTCAATTATTTATGCAAAATAATAATTTAATCAAAATTTGGGCAGAATCCCCCTTTCACCAAATATCAACTCAAATACCAAAATCAACTATTTTGGCACAACATGATCTTATATTCAAGCTTCATACTCGTTTACCTCATATTCATCAAAACCCTTCTTTTCATTTCACACCCAAATCCTAGATTTGTTCAAACCACAACCAAATCTCATCATCTATACACAATAGGGAATAACTAAGCCAAAAACCATATTAGAGTGTAGAAAATCTCTACCTCAAGTTTTGAAGAGAATCTGAGATGAAACCCCAAAATCTACGGTGTCGAAATTCGATCTCCACCACACACAATAAAGCCCTCAAGGTGATGACCAACTTTGGTGAAGAACTTAGGCCTAAATCCCAATGGATTTGAAGAAATCAAAGAGAGAAGATGACTTCTAGAGAGAGAAGCTCTAGACCTAGATATTTGGAGAGTTTTAGAGAGAGAGGGGGCTGCAAAAAGTGATCTGAAACCCTAATTTACGGACTGATATAACAAGGTCACTCGAGCCTGAAATACACTTTCTCATAAGCAATTTCGAATGCATTTTTCATTTTTACTTTCGGCGAGCTGACCGGGCAGCTCGACCCCCGAAGTTGACCAGGTCAAAATCGAGATCGCTACACAATATGAATAAAATACGCACACAGAGTTTGTGCCAACCTTCTAGTCTTTAAGAATAAGAAGGTTTCAAAATATCTCCAATCTTTCATCATTTTCTTTTAATTTTTTTTTATCCAACTTGATTTTAAATTTGAATAAAAAGTTTGATTTGATATTAATTACTTTAACTTTTTCATTAAATTTTTATCAAATTTTTTTTTTAAAAAAAATTCATTCTTATCCCAATTTTTTTTTTCTTTTCATCAATTTTGATGAAAAAAATAATAATTTCCAATACTTCATTTTTTTTTATCAAATTCTAATTTAATAAAAAAAAAAAGAAAAGAAAAAGTGTTAAGGTTGGAGATGCTCTTAATTAGAATTATCTTGAAATAGTGAAAAATTGAGTATGTGATTGGTTGAAATGTATAATTTAATTAATTCTCTTATCATATTTGTAAACAAATTAAAAATTGACACTTATGACCACATTATTATCGGTCGGATTCTAGGAAGTTTTTGGAGATGCCAAATATATTTCATTTGTAAATATCCTACCTATTAAAAAAAAGAAAAAAAGAAAAAAGAAAAAGAAAAAGAAAAAAAAGAAATGTGTAACTTTTGGATATATGTTTATTAGTTTTGTTTTTTTTGGAAATAGACATTTGATGTTTCAATTTAAAAAATTAAAAAGTGAAAAAAAAAAAAATTGATTGGGCTTTTTGGGGCTAAAAGAAGCCATATAACTCCTATATATACACTACAGGAAAAAACACTTTTCGTGACCAACATTTCTAGTCGCAGAAAGATTAAATCTGGTCATTAATAGTTTTTAGCGACCAAAAAAAGTTGGTCGCGATTTGGTTGCCAAAAGCCCGTCACAGAAGGTTTTTGGAGACCAAAAGTGAAGTTGGTCGAGGAAAACCATCATTTGCGACAACATATTTTGGTCGCGGAAGAGACTTGAATTTGTCAAAAGTTGATCCTATTGCGACTAAGAATTTGGTCGCTAAAAGTTAGACTTTTGGCGACCAGAATAATGTTGGTCACGGAAAATGGGCATTGGCGACGAAGAAAAGTAAAAATTACGTTTATAGATTATCCCTATCTATTATGCTATTATATATAACAATAGCGGTAATAAATTAACTATAATATATATGAAAATTTATACTAAGCTTTCATTTTCAATTAATTGAATTACAATTAACAAATGAACAAATAGCAACAATGGTACAATAGGATAGAAAGAGGACAAAAATAAAGAATACAATGATATTTAAAATTTTTAAATTTACCTAGCTATTCAAAAATCTAATGTTATAGTAAAAATCTTGATTTTCCAATAAATCTTCACATTTTCTATAAAATAAAATGACAATAAAAAATAAAAAATTTGGTGCCCAATTTTTTTACTTTAATTTTATGGTTTTCATTAAAGAAAACAAAATCTGATCAAAATAATTGGCACATAACGGATATAGATATTTCGATTGTAACCATTATCACCACTAATTCTTCTCTACCATGTAAATCTATAAACAAACACATAAATCTCACTAAAACTGAAACCAAAACCAAAACCAAAACCAAAACTAACATTACAGAAAGATAATCACACAAGGAAAAAAATAAAAATAAAAATAAAAATAAAATAAAAAATAAATAAATTTATGAAGTAATAGGATGTTAAATCTAACAACTTAGATCTTGCTCACTCCAATTGTCAACTCGTCCGCCAATGCCTGTAAAGTCTATGAGTTGAAATGACTAATCAGATTATTCTTTAAATAAGATTTGAAAATTGATCAAGATAGACATACATCAAGAAAATAGATAGTTATATTACTAAACCGTAATTCAAATTTAGATATTGTCATATCTTTTTGAGATTCATATATAAATTCTTATCTCCTTTATTTATGTGTGGTTTCTATTTTTTTTTAATTTATTTAAGATGGAATTGTGACTTTCTATTTTTTAAATTTAATTTATTTATGGATTCTATTTGTTTTTTATTATTATTAATTGGGTAAGTTATGATGTGTGTTAGATATGTGATAGACATGT